ATTTCCCGTTTTCTTTTGTGACCAGAAGTGGACAGTAAGGTGGAGGGTGAAGTATCTGAGAGGAAAAGTACAAAGAGCAATTCATGGTGTTACTTTTAATGGCGACATGAAAACAGGTCAGACCAACATGTGATTAACTGACATACCGTGTCACGACGTCACCATCGGTTGTTTGAGTCATAATTTAAGATCAACATTGCAAAACACCCAGTTTATCATTATATGCTGTTTCACCAACCCAGCCTCTACTATCTTAATATTCCCTTATAGCAAAACACAGACTGAGGGAAAACTAGATATAGTTAATGGGTATTTGAGTCAGATGAGAGATAAATAGTTAGAAACAAACATACCAACTTGAAGTTAAAGATAGATTTAAAAAAGGTGCTCAAAAAATCTATTTGATATTCACATATATATCTCATGTATATTGTCTTAACCCTTTTAAACATCCTATCATCAGTCTGCATATTCTCCACACTGCTCCTTATACATTTCCTAGTGTGCTGAAAAGGAGAATTTGTTTGCCAATCAAAAGTTTCCATCCCTGTTGACCATGTCCATTATTCTCATGACCTCAATATGTGATTCAGGAGTGATATTGTAAGGAGAAATTAGTTGCTGGTCACTCCTAGGGTTTAAAAGGTTAATTCCACAACCTGACTCATATACCCATTAACTAATATGAATTTTTTTTGTCATACTTTGTATCAATTAAATATGATAGCGCTGCAATGATTCTTCAAACGTTCATCACATAAGTAGTTATCACTGTGACAAGTAGTTTTATCTAAAGGGGAGCCTTTGGTTCATCATCTCTCTCTGCAAACCTGAGAACTCCACCAACTGCCTCTACGTAATCACAAATGGTATGTTGAGCTACCAAAGAGTGCTTTAGCAAGTTCTCTACTTCAATTTCTTTGTTGACAGAAAATCCCCACTCTACAGATGCCTGGCCATGTGACAGCAACAGAAAAATTTTCGATAGGTCAAGAATGCAACATAGTTCTCACCAGTCATGTGGGTGAAAAAATTCATCAATCTGAAGAACGGGTTAAGGTAAAGAATCTGATCCTACCGACGCATCTTCCTTGGCAAAATTTCACTCACGATATGAAAATGAATAATTTCCACATGGCCACCATCTTGTTTGTCGTGTTATTGAACCCAGTAACTTATCCTGACTGAACATTAGATTAACATTTCCTATATTTTTCCATCAGGACACCTTAATATTCTAAACCGACACCCATCGTCAAGTTTTTAAATTTTTATTACCTCAAAACACTGCAGTTTTATTATGTTGGACATTGACTTTTTCAAACTTAGTGGCTCGTTTTCAAAATGGTGGTGATTTAGATTTCTTTTCGAGGGAGACATTGGGGCCTATTAGAAACTGCAAAACCGTAGAAAAATCATCCAAAACCGAAAACCGCATGCAGAACTGTCAAAACCAATACATTTTCACATCCCAGTTATTAAAACCCTGATCGATATGATACAGTGGTGATAAGTGAAAACTACACTAATTTTATTACAGGATTTATGAATGCCATGGACTTGGCATTCGTATCTTCTAGTGTCTGCTTAAATCAACAGCTGCTCTCTCGAGGACCTCGATCGTGGTCTATGCGTACTCAGCAGCTGGTAATGGAGCCTAATTAAATTAAGGAAATTCGCACAAAAGTCCTCTACAGGATTGCAATTTTGCAGTCACAGAAAACTATAGCTCTGGAAAGTTTTATCGAAAATCCCCTATCTAACATTTCTATTTGTGAACTAAGACCTGAAAGTTTGGAGATTCTATTGGAATGTTGAATCAATCAGCCACGTGTGGCCCGTAACTTGGTCACCAACTTCGAAGTGGCGTTGATAACAAAACTCTGGCAATGTTCCGTGCTTAGCCGTACCCTATGTGTAACTTTAAAAAAAAAATTCAAACTGAGTATCCTGTTCACCTTTCCTTCCCCAAGGCTCTTCTAGTTCTTTTCCATGACCAGTGGTGGATACTACAGTGAGGGCTGAAGTACCTAAGGGTAAAAGAGGCAGAGAGAGATTAGCATTCACAGCCTCCCTTCAGATGTTTTGTTGCGATAAGTGGAAATGTGAACAATTATATTTAATTAATTGATGCCACATTACTGCACTGAGATAATTCTTCAAACATTTATCAAATAATTGTTATTACAGTCCACAACAACTTTTCCATAATAACTTAACCCTTTAACTCCCAAGATCTCATTAGTAATTCTCCTTGCTGTCTGCCATACCAATGTTGTGATGTTAGTTTGGAGAATTTGGTATTGGATCAACTTATAATCCCCTCACTAATACTCTTCTTTATTCTCATGACTTGTCTACTTGATATTGTATTGATATTGTAAGGAGAAATTCTGTCTTGGTCA